ACAGTGTAAAAGTCTTCCCTTCTTTCCACATCCATGCCAGCATCTGCAGCTTTGAGACTTTGTGATGATGTGGGCTATTCTCACTGGGGTTAGGTGATATCTCAGGATGATTTCGATTTGCATTTCTCTGATGATTAGGGGCGATGAGCATTTTTCATAGATTTGTTAGTCATTGGTCTGTCTTCTTCAGAGAAGGTTCTGTTCATGTCTTTTGCCCAGTGATAGATAGGATTGTTTGTTCTTTTTTTGTTGATTAATTTGAGTTCTCTGTAGATTCTGGTTATTAATCCTTTGTCAGATTCATAACATGCAAACAAATATTTTCTCCCATTATGAAGGTTGTATATTTGCTTTAATTGTTGTGTCCTTAGCTGTGCTGAAGCTTTTTAGCTTAATTAAGTCCCATTTGTTTATTTTTTTTGTTATTGTTGCAATTGCAACAATTGTTATTGTTATTGTTGCAATTGGGACAATTTTATGGAGAAGACTGAAGTCTTTCCCCAAGACTTCCCAATTTTAAAATGTACTGCAAAGCTACAGTAATGAAGACAATGTAATATTTGTATAAGTATAGACTAACAGAATAGAATTGAGAATACAAAATAAACCCTCATATTTATGATCAATTATTTTTTGGCAAGAGTATCAAGATAATTCAATGGAGAAAGAGTAGTCTTTCAACAAATGGTTCTGTGACAGTGGGGTATCCACATACAAAAAGATGAAGCCATTTATACTATACATGTCAATCAACTCTAAATGGAAGAGTTAACATTACAAAACTCTAAGGAAAAAGAATAGGGGTACATTTTCATGATCTTGGATTGTACACTTCTCAGATACAACACCAAAAGCACCGGCAACAGAAGAAAAAATAGATAAATTGAACATCGTTCAAATTAAAAACTTGTCTGCTTCAGAAAAGTGGAAAGACAAGGCACAGAGGGAGAAAATATTTCCTAATCAGATATCTGATGAGGGACTCAATGCAAAATATATAAGGAACTCTTAAATGAGTACTAAAAAGACAAATAACTCAAATAAAGTGGGCAAAGGATCTGAATAGACATTTCTACAAAGAAGATATACAAATGGCCAATAAGCACGTGAAAAGATGCTGAGAATCATTAGTCTTTAAGGAAATGCCAATTAAAACTACAATGGGATACGGCACCACACTGGCAAGGATGTCTATAATAAAAAAAAGACGGACAATAGCAAGTGTTGGTGAAGATGTGGAGGAACCAGAACTCTCATACATTGCTCGTGGAATGTAGATTGATGCACCTGCTTTGGAAAACAGTCTAGTTTCTCAAAAGTTTAAGCATGGAGTTATGCTATGGCCCAGCCATTCCATTCCTATGTTTTATACCCGAGAGAAATGAAAACTTGCCCACACAAACTTGTACGTGCATGTTCATAAACAGCCAAAAGGTGGTAGCAAACCCTAATGTCCATCAGCTGATTAATGGCTAAATAAAATGTGCTATATCCATATAGTGGAATATTGTTTGATCACTAAGGAGTATTGATACATGTGACAACATGCACAAGCCTTGAAAACATTATGCTAAGTATAAGAAACCCATCACACAAAAGCCATATGTTGTATGACTCCATTCATATGGAATGCCCAGACTCGGGAAATCTACAGAGACAAAAAACAGATTAGTTAGGCTGTAATTCCAGCACTCTGGGAGGCCGAGGCAGGTGGATTGTCTGAGCTCATGGGTTGGAGACCAGCCTGAGCCAGAGTGAGACGCCTGTCTCTAAAAATAGCTTGGCATTGTTGTGGGTGCCTATAGTCCCAGCTACTTGGAAGGCTGAGGCAAGAGAATCACTTGAGCCCAAGAGTTTGAGGTTGCTGTGAGCTATGCTGTCAAGGCACTCTACTGAGGGTAACAAAGTTGTCTCCAAAAAAAAAGAAAGAAAAGAAAACAGATTAGTCATCACCTAGGGCAGGGAGGCTTGGAGGTTATGCGAGAGTGATTGCTAATAGGTAAGAGATTTCTTTTTGGGGTAATGAAAATACTCTAAAATTGATTATGGTGATGGTCACATAACCTTGAGAATATACTAAGAAAATCCTAAAAACCATTGAATTGTACTCTTTAAATGAATGGATAGTATGGCATGGGAATTATATCTCAATGAAATTGTTAAAGAAAAGAGAAGGTGAAATGCCTAACACATAAATATTATATTATCAAGGGGCCCAGTAGGTGGTGGGGGCCAGAGCCTGGTGCTGAGGGCCAACATCTGCCTCAGGCCTAGGAGATGTAGCACCCAGGGCCCTAAATATTTTCCTAGGTTCATTAAAATGTTTTAATTTCCTTTGAAAAAAAATAAACTTTCAGGTGAAGAAAATGTTTAATACTCAAAGCATTGGTCTTTGCACCAATGTGGTTTAAAACAATTTTTCATTTAAAAAATTAAAATTTTAAAAATTTATTTAGGAAAAGCCCATGAAAGCAAAAGTGTAGAATGTCCACTGGTCTCTGGCCCTGGGTGCTGGTCTGAATTCGGCCATTACATTTCTCCCCTCTAGTTTTCAACCAAACAATACAACATTCAAGGGGCCCTCTTCACAGAAGAACTTAGGAAGCTCTAAGCAGACATTAAGAATGCTGGAAGCTTCAGATCTTTTTGATCCTTCAACCCACATTGGTTGCATTTTGACCCAATCTATGTTCCTTTCTGGGATCAGCTATAAAATCCTTATACCAGGGGTTGCAAAAGTGATCCAGGCTAGTGTCTCAGGGGCCAACTGGGTGGTATAAGTGGGGTTAGGGTAAAGCTAGGGAGTGGTGGGGACTATGGCAAAGAACAGAGCTTACACATGCCTTACCCACAGGCAGTACATCTGCCTGCTCCTGACTTAATTGTTGCTGTGTGGGATTGTGGGCTTATACGGCCAGATCTCCTGACTCTTTAAGAGAAAACCAGAAATGTGGATTTGTAGGCAATACTTTTTCTGTTTTTTTGGTCCTACATGGGCCAAACAAAATGTGTTTGTGAGCAGGGGTCCGTTGTGTGCTCTCCTCTGCTTGTGAGGAAGGGTCTAGAGGCTAGGCCAGGCCTTGCTCATCACTGCATCCTTGGTGGCCAGCCCTGTGCCTGTGGCATCCAGGTGGCCTGGGAGGAAAGACTGAGGAGTTGATGCTTCTTACAGGCAAAAGGTTTTGGTGGAAAGCATTCATTCACTCATTTGCTCATTTGTTCTTATATTCTTTCAAGAAATATTTATTAAGCACTCTCTATATATCAGGCTTTGTTCTAAGTGCTAGGGATTCAGTGGGAAGGGAGCTTGGGGAGTGTCAGTGTTTAGAATTTTAATTAGATTAAAGGCCTCCCTGAGAAAATCACATTTGAGGGAGAGAGGGGTAAGCCATCAGGGGGAAAGATGCTCTGGGCACAAGAGGCAGCAAGTACAAAGGCCCTGAGGCAGGAGAATGCCTGGTGTGTTCCAATCCAGTTGGAGTGGAGAGAGTGAGGGGGTAGGTAGTAGGGGAAGAGGTCAAGGTGATGAGGGGGGCAGATCACATAGGGTCTTATAGGCCACAGTGAGGACTTAGGAATCACAGGGGGTTCTGAGCAAAGAAGGGACACAATCTCTTTTAGGTTAGAGCAGGATCTTTCTGGTCACTGGGAGGATGAGGCAGAAACAGGGAGACCAATGCAGAGGCTACTAAAGTAGTTCAAGTGAGAGCTGATGGCAGCTGGGCCCCGAAGAGGTGGTGAGAAGCAGTTGGATCCTAGATGTGTTGGGAAACTAGAGCCATATATCAGGTAAGAGTGACCGCAAGGTCTTGGCCTGAGTGCCTGGGTGGATGCAGGTGCCATCTACTGAGCTGGGAACGTCTTGAAGACGCGGCTCATGCCTGAAAGGAGAATAGGCAGAAGGAAAAAAAACCAAACTTGTAGGGAAAGAAAATATTTAATACTTAGCATTAATTCTGTACATTCATCTTTTTACCAATGTGGTTATAAAATATAATTTTTTAAATAGTTTTTGGTTTTTATTTAGAAGGGGCTCATGAAGGCAAAAGCGCCCAAGGCCCACTGACTGATGTCATACCGTGGCCCCTGGTGCTGGTCTGAATTCAGCTATTACATTTCTCCCCTCCAGCTTTTGAGGAAACAATATAACGTTAAAGGAGATTTAAAACAATTCATTCAAAATCCACCCACTCCAGCTTTTTACCCACTACTTCTTTTCTCTTTTTAAAAATCATCCCTTCCGGTTCTTGGGGGTCAGCAAACATCTCTTTCAGCAGGTTATAATCTTGGTACAACTAACTTGCATCCAAGAGTCTCAGGTGATGGGGACTGGGTGCCCACAGGAGAAAGCCAAGTCCTAACAGGGGGAGCGTGTTCGGGGCAGGGGAGCAGCATGTGCAAAGCCTCATGGCGGGAGGGAGCACGGGAGCACAGGAACCAGGGACAGGGGACAGCAGGACGGGTGTTTGGGTGAAGGCTGTGGGATGCCAGTCCTGGGGCATGTGTGAAAATTTGGACTTTTTGTTTTGGGGGTTGTCATCAAGTGTTTCCAGCAGGAGCAGGCTGTGAGTGTATGTGCGTGTGTGTGCATGCACGTGTACACGTGTTTGACCTGACCAGAGCTGTGTGTTTTAAAAATATCCGTTTGGCCATGGCATGGAGAGTGGATGGGAGAGAGGCCAGGGTGCAGGCCTGAGGAGGCCAGTGGGGTGAAGCCTAGGGGTAGGCAGGTGGGGAGGTGGCCCTGTGTGCATGTGGCGCAGGAAGGGACCCGGGGCTGATGCAGGGGTGGGAATGGTAGGACTGGCTGGGTTGGATTAGGAGAGAGAGCACTCGCAGGTTCCTGGGACATGTGGTTTCTAGGAATCAGGGATAGAGAAAGACAACCTTGGGTTGGGTCAGAGGTGCTTGTTTGCTCCAGGGCTCAGGGAGGGGGGCAGGCAATGTCCTAAAGCCACATGTCCTTCTGAATTCTGAAAACCCTTCTTTTCTTTTCAAAGGTGAAAAATGTCGCAGCTTCATTGACCTGGCCCCAGCGTCAGAGAAAGGTGAGTGTGGTCGGGCTCTGGTGTGGCAGCCCCACTTTCTCTGGGGACATCCTCCCTGCCCTAGTGGCTTCCCATGCCTCTGACACAGCTTCTCCTTCAGCATCCCTGGGCGATGGGGCCCCAGAAGCCAGACATCCTGTTGTAAAGCCCCAAGTTTCTCAAATATTCAGTGGAGTGGGAGAGGCTGAGGAGAAGGACCATCTGCCTCCCCCCGGGGCAGTTCTGGGAGTTGTACCATCTATTCTGTCCAGTGCACCTGTGACTTTTGGGGAGGGATGATGGGTGTGTAGAAGTTGGGCTCAGGAATGCCCAGTGGTGTGGGTTTGCCTCTTGCTGTAGGATTTGGGGAAGAGAAGCCAGGTGTCTGGGCTCTGCTGTCTCACAGGTGTGGGGAGGGCCAGTCTGGTTGGATGGGGCCATCCAGCGAGGTCTCACTGGTGTGTAGTCCCTGCAGCAGAGACTCTGAGGCCAAGCAGTGCTGAGAGCTGTGCGAGGCAGCAGGGGGATGATGAGGAGCAGGCCAGTGCTCCAGCGGAGGAGAGTAGTCAGAATTAGGTTTAGCTACAAGTAATAGGGACCCCAAAGGACTGGCCTCAGGGAAGAAGTTTATTTATATCTCCTATAAAAGTTTGAAGGTAAGCTATGTATGGTGGCTCACACCTATAATCCTAGCACTCTGGGAGGCTTAGGTGGGAGGATCACTTGAGGCCAGGAGTGTAAGACTAGCGTGCGAAAAGTGAGACACCATCTCTACTGAAAATATAAAAATTAGCTGGGCGTTGTGGTGGGCACCTGTGGTCCCAGCTACTTGGGAGGCTGAGGCAGGAGGATCAGTTGAGCCCAGGAGTCTGAGGTTGTAGTGAGCTGTCATGATGCCATGGCACTCTAGCTGGGGTGACAGAGTGAGACCCTGTCTCAAACAAAAGAAAGAAAAGAAAGAAGAAAGAGAGCAGGAGAGGAGGGGAGGGAAGGAAGGAAGAAAGGGAGGGAGAGAGGGAGGGAGGGAGGGAGGGAGAAAGGAAAGAAGGAAGGGAGGGAGGGAGGAAGGAAGGAAGGATGGATCCAGGGAAGCTCTGTTCCATGAAGTCCTCAGGATCCAGGTCCCTGCTACCCTCCCCATCATCCCATGGCCTTTGTCTTCATATTCTAAGATGCCTGCTAGAGTACCAGCTATCACATCTGTATTTCAGGCAATAGGAGAGAGGAAGGGCAAAGAAGAAAGGACAAAGATCTTAGTCAACTCTAAGGTTCCCCGATGTTGTCCCACAACGCCTGCCTGTGTCTCCTTGGCCAGGACTAAGGGCATGGCCACATTTATCTGGCTGGGAATGTGGTCTGTGCCCAGCTAAAAGGGATTTTGCTATTATGGAAGAGCAAGAGAAGGGACACTGGAGGATAGCCTGCCACAGGGATTTAGGGGAGGATGGCCACCTCCCCACCTGCCTACCCTCTGCCACCCAGGAGAAAGGCTGCCAAGCCAGAGAGAAACAGGTGTACAGGTTTCTTCCAACAGATCAGGGGAGTGCCTTGGAGTGATGGGAGGGGAAACAGAGGCAGAAGGCCAGTCATGTAACTTGTCCAGCATCTAACAGGGAAAGTATGGGGTGACTGGCTCATGGGTCCAGGGTGCATGGTCCCCCATGCCACCTGCTGGTGGGACAGAGCCTGTGCTCTCACCCTTATTCTTCCACTCCCAGAGTCCCAAAGGCAGAAGGGGCCACATGTCATTGAGGATGCTGTCTTCACCAAGTTTTAGCCAAGAGGCAGCTGGCAAGACTGAGGGGAAAGTGACAGGAACTCACTGGGCCCTCAGCCCCCAGAAAGAGGCAAGGACACCCCTGAGCAAGTTCTTGGCAGTAGGGGGTGCCTCCTCTGTTTCCTTGATTTCCCCGTGTGGCTGTGTCCTGTTTAGTTACATGTGGACATCTCTGAAGCGTTCAATGGTGCAACTTGGGCCACAGCTTCCAAACTGAGCTGTCCAGGGAACACTGCTGCTAATATTACCAATGAATGGCTGGTATTTATCGAGCAGTTACTATGTGCTGGACCCAATGCCACACATTTGCAGCCCCACAAGGAAGGGGCTGGCATTCTCACTCCCACTTGGCAGATGAGGAATCTGAGGCTTAGTGCGATTAAGTCACTTCAGCCTCACATCTCCTAAAGGCAGAACCAGGCTTAATGCAGACCCACACGGCCCTGTAGCGTGCACGTCCCATAGTCCCTCGGGTGTGGGAGCTCCCAGGTCAACTCTGCTCCAAATTTGACTTCCAAGAAATAGGGCCTGTGTGTGTGTATACATGTGCATGTGTGTCCCTTGTTGAAGGCTAGTGTGTGTGTGTGAACAGGTGCGTGTGTGTGTGTGTGTGAACTGTGTGAGCGTGGCATGGAGGCGTGTGCACACATGTGCACATGTAAGAACATAGGTGTCTTATCCCTTTGTGTACATGCACAGATGTGTTCAAGTGTGAGCATGTGTGGGTGTGTGGCCATGTGAGTGCTGTGTGTACACGTGTGTGCATGTATGTGTGTGTGTGCCCACTTATAGTGGTGGTGGGGGGCCTGCTGGGCTCCACCCAGGAGGCATCAGGCCTTTATTCCTGCTTCTTTTATGAGGACCCAGTGCCCAGAGAATTTGTATCTTTGTATTTTACTGGCCTTGTGATTTCGCTTTAGGACTTGGCAGCTACATTGAGACCCTTCTGAGTGTGTGTATAAAAATGTTTACAGAGGGTCTGGGTGGGTTAGCTTTGCCACCAAGGTGTTGAACGATTTTCATGTACTCCCTGCTTCTCAAATGCTTCTCAGATGCTCTTACTTGGGTTGGCAGGGTTTGGTCCGCGGCAGCCCACATGGCCTCTTCCTGAGCCTCCCAGCATGCACCTGCAGGCATGGGGTGCTCTTGGATCTGTGCTCACTGGTTCCTCACCATATGTGGATTCTCCATTTCACAGAAAAGGAACCCGTGGGCAGAGGGATGGAGTGACTTGTTCCAAGCCATGGCAGGAGCCTGGGGGTGGGCGTTTGCACCCAGGTGTGTTCCCACTCAAAGAATGCTCTTCCCCCAGCTTTGGCCCCTGTGGCAGCTCCCCCTGTCACTTCCCCTCCTGGTGTCTTTCTGGTCTGCCAAATATGACAATAATCATGACACCAACACTAACTGGCCTTCATGCGGTGCATACTGTGTGCCAGGCACTACTCTGAGAACTTTACACACATTGGCTCATATAATCCCTGCTTTACAGATGAGGAAACTGATGCACTGAGCAGTCACATAGCCAGGAAGCAGGGGAGCTGGGATTTGAACCTGAAGAGTCTGGCTTTTAAATCCCTGGTTCTTCTGCTGAGAAGTGAGGCCTCCCAAGGATATGCCCTTCGCCCTTACCAACACCCCTGGGCTGAGTGCAGGCCAGCGCTTCCCTTCCTGTCTGAAGCTCCTCCTACCTTGCATGATTCCAGGCCTTTCTCCACTATCCTCTTGCCCCTTGCTCACCCACCCTCTTGCCCTCAGTGCTTCCTGCCGTGGCATTATGCACTTTGCTTTGTTTGACTGACTATTCTGGTTCTGTATTTCTGTTGCCTAAGCCACAACTACTTTTATCTGGCTTCTCACATTTTTGTCTCCAGATTCCCTTGGTATCCCAAATGATCCTTTTAAAACATAAATCAGATTGTGTGCCTCCTGTGTTTAAAACCTTCCTATGGCTCCCATCTCACTTGGGGTAAAAGTCAGTGCCCTCGCTGTGACCTGCAAGGTCTGGCATGACCTGGCCTTGTACTCAGGATTTCATCTCCCGCCATCTCCCACCACCATACTCTGGCTCTCCAAAATCCGTGCTGTTCCTAGAGCAGCATGTGCCTCTGGGCCTTTGCACATGTGATTCCCTGTTCTCACTGTTCTCTCAGTTCTCTGCACGGCTGGTCTGTTTTCATTGTTCAGGTTTTGGTTTAAATGCTTTTCCCTGAAGATTAGAGCTGCCCTCCTCCTGCCAAGTCCCTCTCCTGCCAAGTCCCTCTCCACTCCCTTCCCCTGTTCCGTTGTCTGCACCTCACTCATTCCCACCTGAAGTCATCTCGTCTATTTAGTGGCTATTTGATTAACCATCATTTCTCCCAGAAGACTGTCCATTCCAAGGCAGCAGGGATTTTTGTCTTGTTCAGAATTCACTGTATACCTAGTGCTCAGAGCAGTGCCTTGCACTGACTGGTGCTCCACAATGCTTGTTGAATGAATGAGAAATGAATATTGATTCTAACCATTACTATTAAAGATAGGAAAAGCTGAAGTGTTTTTACTAATCTCACACTCCACTTAACACACCATTTGTGACACCAGATGTACGTGGGGTTTTGCCCACACACCAAGCAATCTTCTAGCAGACTACATCAGGGTGTCTTCTAATTCAATTTAATTTCCGTATTATCCACCTGGAGATAGCATCAGATCTCACAGGTCAAGGGTTCAGTCCCACAGACTGCCATCCACTTCTAATGCCAGCCGCAAGTCCCAGTTGGGATTTGTGCTTTGGCTGACTGGGTTCGCACAGCCTCGTCCTTTGGTTCAACATAGTAGAGTGGCTCACAGACCTCAGAGAAACACGTACATTACTGGTTTATTACAAAGGCTATTATAGAGGATACAGGTGAATAGCCAGATGGAAGAGATGCTTAGGACTAAGTCGGGGAGGTGGAAGGGGCGTGGTCCTCCTGTGGGTACCACCCCCAGGAACCTCCACCTCTTCGGCTACCTGGAAGCTCCTTGAACCCTGTCATTTGCGTTTTGTGGAGGCTTTATTACATGGGAAGAAGGGTTGATTACATCTCTGGCCATTGGTGATGAACTTAACCTTCGGCCCCTCTCCCCTCTGCAGAGGTTGGGAGTACAAAGGAAAGACCTACCCTTCAATCCTGCCTTGGTCTTTCCTGTGACCAACCCTACCCTGAAGCCCCTAGGGAACCCCTGCCACCAGCCATCTCATTAGCATACAGAAGACACTCTT